TTTTAAGGCCCAACATTTTTAGGCCACATCTTTCTTGTTAGTGTGTGCATCCACTGGGTCATTGGGAAAGTCAGGAAACATTTTGCATAGAAGATCACATCATGACTTTCCTGACAACCTAATAGAGGAAGGCCAGATTGGTGGACAGGTGGAAGTCAGCTGCATTAAAGCAGTTTTGCTCTGCTCTCAAAAATCTCTTATCTGGGGAACCAGCAGTTAGCGTAATGGCTATGTCGCTGGACTCCCATGTAGTTGACCACGGTTCACATCCAGACCCAGTGGCTTAAAACTCACGCCGGGTGTGGGTGCGTGCGTGCCCAAGATCCCGAGAGGAAAATGGAGGAGAAGGGATTGCGGTGTGGCCACCCCCCCTGCAGGGTGATTTCTCGCTTTCTGTCTCTCTGTCTCGCTCTGTCTGTCTGGCGAGCGCACACGCCCTATAGTGAAAACCTCTCCAAAAAAAAAAATAATCTCTTATCTGTCCTCTGGATACAACTGAATTACCTTGAAAAGACTTCATCCATTCAATGTGAACTTCAGACAGTGCTGGCTTTAGACTGGGTTGTGACGGCACATCATAGGTGTGAGAGTCCCAGGCAAGACAGCAGTGGCGTCCTTATCAGTATGTTTTGCATGGCTGACCCTGGGTAAGGGTAGGATCCGTTTTCACTCATACCATTAACTCTGGGGCATGCCAAGGCCAGCATCAGTGTGTGTTGTGGTAGAGAATGATGTTCAGGTGAAATGTAGATCCTAGCCTGATGAAGGGGGGCTGTTACCACACTACAGTGAATGTCTTTATATTAAGAAGTGTATGTTTTTAATTGCCAGAGAGTGTGTGCACTCACCAGTGAGAGGCAGAGAGAGCGAGAGACAGGGTGAAATCACCCCCACCATGAGGAATGGTCACGCCACAATTCCTTCTCCCTTTCTCCACCCTGTCAGGACTTTGGGTGTGCACACACACGTGTCCATTGTTCTTCTCAAGCCACCAAGGCTAGGATTCAAACCACAATAGGCCACATCGGATTCATGAGGGTATAGGACTGGCCGAAAGATTTGCAATTTTTAAAAAGATTTTTTGTTTCCATTAGTTTAAAATGGAGTTGTAACTATCAGCAGCCACATCTTAATCATCAGAGAGGAGATATTTTGCAGTGCCAAAAACTTGAGGAGAGGAAAAGTAACCAGTATCGCAAGCAACCTCACTGCAATGAACTCAGCCATGTAGCTACCACTGCTGCCTTGTCCGGAACCTTCATACCTATGATGTGTACAAAATACCAGTTGTCTTTGTTTATATCAAGACTCCCAGTCAATATTAGAATCAATATTGGAATTGGATGCAGGCTAATTTGCAGAAGCTCAATGTCCTTTCATTGTTGGCTAGGTCCTCAGTTACCAGGTCTATAATTACTGCCCTTCAAAGCGTTAGCTGGAAAGATAGTGTTACCTTTATCTACCTCTGTCCCCAAAGTCATCCAGGCTACAGACACTGACAGGTCCAACTATGAGGTGGCAGAGTCGGAAGTGTACTGAGCTGCAGTGCTGGACACCACATAGACATCAGTAGGTTTGGGTCCCCAGCCTGATAACCCTGAAACCCACTGGGAAGCAGCACGTACCCAAGATCCTGACAAACTGGAGGGCTACGGGAGGGGATTACAGCATAAGGCTTTTCAGTCCCCCATCTCTGTCTGGTGTGATGCCTGTGTGCTCTCTATCATTAATAGAAAAACAGGGGTCTGGTTATGAGCTGTCATTTATGACTGAAATCTGAAGGAGATGCCTTTCCTCCAACGCAATTGGCAGAGAAAGCTAAAGCAAGCAGAAAGTGATGCATAAAACAGTCTTAGAAGGGATTTGAAAACTATACCAGCAATGGATTCACCTGACTACATGACATGACATCTAATTCAATTGTAGCATCTGAAAATCAAACTGACAGCTCTTGGTTCCATAGCTGCTTATTTAAAACACAATGTGTTCCTGATCTAAATGGAGGCAAACGAACCCAATTCAGAGACTCGTTTATTCACCTGAAAGTGTTGAAAAAGATTCATCAAGTGACTTGTCTTTTGAAACAAAACCATTGACTTTAAAAGCTATTTCTGAAGGACCAGCAGACTGCATAATGGTTATATCGCTGGACTTCCATGTAGTCTACTGGAGTTTGAGTCCTGGACCAGGCAGATTAAAACTTACACTGAGGCCATGTGGGTGCATGCCCAGAATCCAGAGAGGAGGATGGAGGAGAAGGAACTGGGGTGTAGTTACCGCCCTCATAGTGGGGGGTGATTTCTCATTTTCTGCTTCTCTGTTTCTGTCGTTCCCGTAAATGTGCATGCCCTATAGCAAAAATCTCTCTCTTACAAAAAATAAATGTTGTTTTGTAAGATTCAAGAAAAAGAAACGAATAAAAGAAAAATACAAGCCAACAGCAAGACCAAGGGGAAGACCAAAAGGAGGAAGAAACACCAGAAGGTCACAAATAGATAGGAAATGAGTTAGAGACAGGGCACATAAGTTACCATTTATAGAATCAGAGAGTGGAAGAAAAGCATTACTGTGGAAGAAAAGCTGTTCCCAGAGGATTTTTTTTTTAAGTACACCAAAAAGCTGAAGTATGAGCACCATCTTAAGCAATCCTTGAATAACACAAATGTTGTGAAGATTTAGGAAAAGATCTTGGGACCAGCAGATGGCATTATGGCTATGTCGCTGGACTCCCATGAAGTCAACTGCGGCTCAAGTCCCTTTCCCAGCAGCTTAAAACTCACGTAGGCACATGTGCATGCAAGCCCAAGATCCCAAGAGGAGAATGGAGGAGAAGGGAAGCTGTCCCCTCTGGGGGTGATTTCTCACTTTCTCTCTCTGTCTCTCCAGCGAGCAAACACACTCTATAGCGAAAACTTCTCTTAAAAAAAAAAAAAGAAAGAAAGAAAGAAAGAAATCTTGATAGCCATTGACACAAATATTTGGATAATGATAGATCCATGTCTCCTACTGAAGAGCCAGCAGTGGAAGATGAGGCAATATGGTATGAGGATGAATGTGGTATTGAGTCAGTAGAGGATAGTTGTTTTATAATAAGTTTTGAATTCCCAGTTTCCAGTAAGATGAGTGTATACTTAGGACATGAGAATTATACTCAAGAGCTTATTTTGTGTAAACAGAAAGTTTCAAAGGCCAAAAACATTGGGCAGAAGACAGAATGACCTGAAAAGAAGACAGAAACATAAATAGAAAAGAAGGTAAACGATGCGGAAGAAGAAATAACTTTTCAATAGAAATATGCCGGCCTAGGGATGAAGACATTTTTAATTCACAAACCTTCTAAGATTGTCTCGGAAAAAGCTTATGAAAGTCCAAGAGACTAATGATTAATTAGGAAAAACAATTAAAAATGTAAACCTCAGGGAAAAGCTAATAAATAATGAACAGAAGGTATTATGCTTTTTTTGTCAATGCTCATTGATTTCATAGTAAGTGCTTACAGGAGTCATTTTAGCATTGAGATAATAGATTGTAACCCTGAAAAGAAAAAATAACATCACTGCTGCCAAAAAAATATTTTTCAAGGAAGGCATAGTCCTACCTAAAGCCTTGCAACTTCAAGTGTGGTCCATGAATCATCAGTTTTGGGACCTCCTGGGAACTAGGCAGGAACAGCTACAGGACCTCACTCCAGATTTACAAATCAGCTTCTGCCTTAGAAAGACACCCCCCCTACACACACACACACGCACACCGTCCCTTGCCAGTGATAATTCTACGCGTTAAAGTTTGGCAACACGAACAGGAAAGTTGGTGATTCTAGTACAAAATGGACAGGGAAGCACATTTCTATCATTCCTTCCACTACTACCAAGCAGATTTGTGCTTAGAGCCTTTCGAACTCTAATATCAGTGCTTACCGAACTGAGCGTATTCACCTCTGAACACAGGTTTAAAGAAAAGATGCATTCAGTTTAAGATGCCCTTGGAGCAACCGTTTTAATAAACCAGTTGGTTTAGATCCCTCAGCATAGTTGCCTACCTGTGATTTTAAGAGGAAAGTATTTCTATTCTTATCTCAAGTGGAAACTGGTGCTTCTAGTTTTTTCAGGAATAAACTTGGCTTTGCAAAGAAAGTAGCTTGAACCCTAAAACAAACAATCTAGGAGTTAAGTGGGGCCCCTAGGCTTCTTTCAGCAAATGTGTGCTAATCTGTGTAAGACCTGACTATTAGATTTCAGGGAAGGTGCCTAGGCAGTTATTAGTAATGAATACTTAAACTCTTAAACTCTCTGAGGTTGTACTGGAGGAAATAAAGAAGAAAAGCATTTCTGGGTACTATAAAACAATTGCTTACAAATTTTATTTATAAATAAAAAAATAAACATATGTACTTGAACCTATTATGGTTACTAGGTTCCATTTTGTGCAAAATATTAGATCTACAGTTTTACGTCCTGAGGAGGTATTGAAGGAATAGAAAAGTACATAGAGTGTTAGTCTCCCCTTGCTTCTGGAAGAAAAACTCTTCACTGATCTTAACTTTCACATAAAAAAATAAGTGAAAATAAAGATAAGTCCTATTTATGCGAGAATGAATATGGCTATAAATCAATCAGGTTATTCCATTCCAAAAAACCATTGAAGCTGTTGTCTGCAGGACTCTAAGTTTCAAAAGCCTCATTCAAACATAGCCAGAAATATAATGGTCTCTTGGGAGTTTGCATGACAATGACTTACACAGTAGGAAAAATAATTACAGAAATTACATTGATGCAAGATGCACTAGCATTTTAGAATATTGTTTCACTGTGTTACATAATTTTTGAGCCTCTATTTGCTAATTTCGAGTTTTTCTTATTGCCCCTAATCCAAATGATGGAAACCACCTTTTCTCTTCCTCAACAAACGTATACGAAAAGCCCGTAACTGTGTAAGAGGACCTTGATTCCCCTGGAAAAAAAACTAAATTCTATGAAAAGAAAACAAAACCCAGTCTGAAATACTCTTCCAAGGAGTCTAGTTTGGCCACAGGAAGGGAAGGTGCACTTTCCAAGCCAGGTACAGAATGGTGTCTGATTCCAGCTCTGGGCAGGTGCCAGCTGCGACACAGCGCAGGAGTTCACGGCTGGACTGTGCTGGCCGAGGTGTAGGGGGTCACTCTCCCTACGCCTTGGCGACGCAGGGCTGGAGTCGGCTACAGGTCGGAGTCGCAGGGCAGCGAGCTGGGACCCGGCTGGGTGGTGCAGGAGAAGGCGCCGTGAGATTCGCCGGCCTGGGGGCGCTCGCCGTCCAGCACGTCCGCCGAGTTGGTGTAGGCCCTGGGCGGTGGCCGCGGCATGGGGAAGCCGGCCTTGGGCCGGCCGGGCGGCGGGCGCCGCGGGCTCTCGCTGTAGGGCTTGCTGGCGGGCACGAGCGCGGGCTCAGGCCAGGACACGGAGAGGGCGCTGACGCCCCGGCGCTGGTCCTCCGGAGGCGCCTTGCGGCGGCGCTGGCAACGCTCCTCGCACCAGGGCGCCAGGCTGAGCGCCAACGAGAAGCCGCCCAGCAGCAGCAGGCAGCTGCCCAGGTAGCCCAGCACCAGGCTGTAGCCGACCTGGACCGAGACGGGGCTGGCCGGGGCGGGCAGGACGCCGCGGTCCCCCAGGAAGTGGTTGTACCAGGACACGGGAATGAGGCCGAAGAGGCCGGCGGCGAAAAGCACGACCCCCGCTAGGCCGGCCAGCGCGAAGTGCGGCTGGGGCCCCCCACAGCGCGCCGCCCGCGCGGGCCCGCG